TTGATATGCTGATATGTATTTGACGTGGTCCTATTTTGGATATGTACATATACCATGTTATTCTTCTGAGAGCATAGGAGATGTCTGTACGATGTTGATAGTTTTTCTATTTTGTTAGTTATGTCTGTACATGTATAGGTTACTTATTAATTATATCTCTTTTGGTTGGTTGATGTAATCATACAAGTAACTCTATGGATATTATTTTGAGACCTCTTATGTATGGGATAGCCTATGCCATGTATGGCTGAGTAATATGGTTTATGCCTGGATTATATTAAATTGTCAATCAGATTGAAATTATCATGGTGGAAAATCTCTGTAGTGGTCCAAAATATAGACGAAATTCTATCCGTTTTATTTTGGCCATGGAAGTGAAAAAGTTTGCAATATATAAGGAAAAAAGAAAATTTATTCAGTTAGCTTCAGCATTAATTAAGTTAAGCATGCTGCATTTATTATCATATGTATGTTAATACACCGGGTGCACACAAGGTGTTACAACAACGAGAACCCATTATTCTTGCTCAAATTAAGAACAAATATGGAAACAACATGTGGGGTTATAAACTATGTAGCACCGATACTGACACAGGACATGTGACACGATACGACACGACACTTCGACACGTTAATTCTAAAAAATGTTAGATTTCGACACGTTAGGACACGTTCCGATATTAAATAATATTTTTATTTTATGTAGTGTATATTATATTGAATATTCAATAATTTAACAAAAAATGAAACTAAACTTATAATATTCATAAATTTTGCAAAGAAACATAAGATATCCCAAATATTTATATTAAACTCAATAAAATGGTAATCGTAATCCAACGAATCTAATTGTTGGAACTAAAAACTCAACACAACGAAACCTTTGAACCTTTTTTTGAATTTCTATAACGCGTGTTGAAGTGTCGGGGAGTGTCGGACACGACACATCAGGATTTTTGAAGTGTCGGTGGTTCATAGGTTATAAATATGCATGGAAGGCATATATCAAATTGTGTGGACAAATGACTTTAGCTCAAAATATTTGTGTCTCATGGTTTATGTGTCAACAAAGTGATGCTCCCCAACCCATCATCAATACTTGCAATGGCTACAACTATGATTGGTTTTATAATAACCCAAACCTGTAAAATGTGAATTTAGAGAATGATTACAAGTTTAATTATGAATAAAACAAATTAATTAGATAAAAAGTCTAACTAAATGAAATAAAGTCACTTTTGGGCAAAAGTGCAATTAGTATAAGTTTTGGGATGAAAATAGTTCAATTAAGCAAACGTTACTCGAAACTTTTAAATAATGTAGTGAGATATCATAAGATGACTTTGGTGAAAGTTAAAATACTTTGAAAGGGATTAGATCATGAATTACATTCTAATTATCATGTGTTTTATTAAAACACTAGAATCTGCTACAACATTTTCACCTTAGAACAAAACCGCTACAGTAGTTCTGCATTTACCAAGGGTAAAACTCACTTAAGTGAAATTTTCCTCATTTTTCATTCATTTTTTGGTCATCCTCGTGGAACGGCAGTAACCCTCACCCGAAACAAGACCGCCTAACCGTCAGATGAGTTGATGAAGCACAATCTGAACCAATTAAATCACGAGTTGTGGATTGCAACTTATTGGCCGTTATATTTTAAGGAGATGACGAACTATGTAAAGCTCGTTGCAATCTTCAGTTAGATTAGAGTTGGCTGTTGGAAACCCCTCTACTACACAAAGCTAAGTCCAAGATCTCATTAGAACACATATTTAGGACTTAGGACAGTTATATAAAGGTGTATAGTTGATAACATTGCATGAGCTCAAGTCATTCATATCATTGCATAATCATAAAATCTTAAAAACATTGGTTTAATAAGTCAAAATTGCATCAAAAGGTTTTTAGCATGATTTGAGCGCATAAGCAGCCTTGCACAACCTAAATATACTTGTTCACACTCTTGAAAATCTATTTGAACTTGAAAGAATGCATCTTTAACACTAAAGGTTGAAATAGGACAATTTGAATGGTTTAATATGTCAAAATTTGTGTGGAATGGTATTTTCATTATTTGAATACTTAGAAACATTATCCATACTCAGTTACATGTGTTCAATGCATTAGAAGTCATTTTGTATGAGAAGAAATCAAGATTTCGTGCAAAAGAGTTGTTGCCATGAAATATTCGGATATGTCCTCGACAAATATCTGGATATGTACAGTGTCCAACGACTATAAATGGCTAGTTTTTGTTGGAGATGCCTTTACATATACTTGTAGCTACAATAATCAATGTTGGAAAAAAATATATCAATTGTTGAACCATTATTACTCATTCTAACTCATTATTGCTCATCAATTACATACTTTGACCATTACCATATACTTAAGCTCATCTTTGATTTAAAGCTATACACTTATTAGTTCTTCAATTTGTATGATATGTACTTTGAGAATACTTGGCCATTGTTAAACACCTCTATTTGATTTCCTGAATTGAGAGGGGAGTGAACCCTTTGAAATTGAGAGGTTAACAAATACCTTAGGAAATTTGGAGTGAAGTGTACAAGCATCCAAGAGCTCGAAGTCTTGGAAGATTGTAGTGGTTTGTCAAGCACACCCAAGCTTGATAATTAGTGAAAAAGATTGATCGAGCGACTTCGCTCTGAATGTAGGTCAAGATGGTGGTGACCAAACCAGAATACATCTTGTTTGTAATTTCTCTAACATTTAACTCTTTACATTTATCTTGAAATTGCATTATTAGATTGTGTTGACTTATTCATTAGCTTATATTTATTGATCACGCACTAGCACCTACACTTAGAATTTTCCTTGTTAAATAATTTAATTGAAGAAATATTCTTTAAAATATCAAAGGAGGCATTTTACGAAAAGATTTTATAAAACTCAATTCAACCCCTCTTGAGTATTGAAGCCATTTGTCTAACACAAAAGTCCTAAAATGTTCACGAAAAATTGAATTAGATGGTTCAAGAAAATGGGTGAAAGAGTTCCTTATACAAGTGCAAAAGATTTATCTTTTCAATTGCATGCTTTTGTTAGAGAGCAGTGGAGTACTCAATAAGTACTACATGTACCATGACAGAATCAACTTGGTCGAACATCATGAGGCCCATATATCATAACTTCTTATAATTATGATGCACCACTTGATGAGTAACAGAATTTGAATCAACTTGAATGGGGACATCTTAAGTAACTTCATGCAATGATAATATTAAGGGAAAAAATCCTCACTAATGGAACAAGGACTGAGGCAAGCTTTTGTTTCCTAAGCAATACAAACGCTAACAAAGATGCAAGTGTTAACTTATAACAAAATTGTAAATACTTTGTACTCGCTTGGTCCATGAGCATTCTTGATGGTTGCAACAAAGAAGTTTTCTATACCGTAAAAGTCAATAGTCAGACTTTAGTGATGGTGAAGAGGAGTCATGACACTTCTACTAAGCTCACTTGGGCTTGGACATTGAAGGCAAAAAAAGATACCATGTAAGGAAAACACAATCTCAAAGCACACCAACTTCTCGTGTAGAAGGAGCTAAGTTTAGATGCTTGTGACTACCTGTGGTACATGACTAGTGTTGATATCAATGACACTTCCAGTTGGAGGAATGCAACTCTTCGTGCGGACACCATGAGTCATACTCTTTATGGTTATAATGATAGGAAGTGAACTAGTCAAAAATGTAGATTTGGGGATGTTTTCTGGATAAGGTAAAGTATATCAATATAACAGTCACTAAAGAGAGAATAATACAAACTACAGTTCATGTATTTTATCGTTTAGGCCTGAGACAAGATGAGAATTTAGGAGTGAGATGGGCTCAATTTTGACTAATGAGAGGTGAATTTGGTAGAATTTTAATAAGGTGAGCAATTACTTCATTTTTGGATATGAAATAAATATGTGTATATGTATGTATAGCTATTACTTTGTTTTGGAATGACATTCCACATTATTTCGCAATTAATTGGGTTATCCTCATATAGATACGTTATTTGTTAAACAAAAGTTAAAGTTGAAGCACGTTGTGTAGATCATGATAAATCAATTTTACATAAAAGCTTGTAAAAAAGCTATAGTGTTTGAAAGTACTATAGCTAAATTGGTAATGAAATGTTGAAACAATTAACAATGTTGCCCATGGCGACTGTGGACAATGAAAATGAAGAATGGTCACATGTGGGTCATCATTAAATGTTAAATGGGTAGGAGACCATAGTTGTGTGAATCCATATTTTTCCCAAGACCACTAAATTCCGTATGTTTGTAATTTGTGAGACTTAAAGAGTTTTATATGTTTGTTATTGGAGACTTCCATACCACAACTAAATTCTGCAGTGTTGATGTGCAGGATAAGTCTCGCATAGTAAACATGTGTAATTGACTGCATTAATTTAGATAATTATTTCAAAAATAAATTAAATAATAAGATAGTAAAAAATTCAATGAAATGTATTGAAAAAAGTATTTAGAATGTGATATCATAATTTATTATGTAAAAAAAATACAAATATAATTTTGTTAAACCTTACATAAATATACTAATAAGTTGTATTATAAATATTTTTATAATTTTTTGATATATATTATTTTTATGAGATATGTTATTATGTCTATTTTTTTTATGCTTAGGTTGTCTAGTCATCTTCAATATTATTTGATCAGAATCTCAAGAGAATAAAGAAAGAGTGAAAGTTAATTGAAATTCTGATATAATAATATTAAAGATAAATAAATAAAAAGGTTTACCAAAAAAAATAAAAAAATAAAAAGCAAATAGAATACCGTATGCTTATTTTTATATCTCCGTTCCTAAGAATGTAAGATAGATAGTCATAGTAATTACTAAATATAGGTGATTAGTAATTTAGATGATTTGCACGTGCCACGGTCTTCCTCACGTGTTCATCGCCAGCCACACTACTCTTTAGTCTTTATTTCTGAACTTTGAAGAAAACTAAGAAGCTTTTCATTTCTCAATCTAAACGACGGTGTAAACGGCTGAGATCTAAAGCCCTAATCATAACCTAAAGAAAGAAAGCAATAACCATGTGGAGGAGACTCTTCTCTTCTTCTCACCTCAAATCCCTATCTTCAACGCTCTCTCATTCTCATCCCCGATCCGCCCTCCGATTCGCCCCCGCCGCCACCCCTTTCCTCGGCCGCCACGTCACCACTCAATCAGGTATCGTTTCCCCCTTTCCGATTTTTTCTTCTCCGATTCATAGGTCAATTCATTTTTCATTTTTGTTGTTGTTGTTGTTGTTACGACAGGTGCTTCGATCAAAAAGAGGGTTGAGGATGTTGTGCCAATTGCTACAGGGCACGAGCGTGAGGAGATTCAGGCTGAGCTTGAGGTTTCATCATCTCCACTCCTCATTGTTCTCGATCATTTTGTATTTTCCATTTTGCAATTTGAATGAAACAAATTCCAAATGCGAGTAATGCTATATATTATGAATCGAATTGATTTTTTTGTCATACTGGATGTACATGACAATAAAAAAAAATGAGATTGCCTTCTTCGTGACTGAAAGGTTTCGTGACTGAAAGGTTATGGGATCAAATCTGGGAAATAGTCTCTTTGCATAATTTGCAATTATGCAAGGGTAAGGCTGTGTACAAGTATTGTCTCCACCCCACACTCAATAGTCAGGTTTAACTAGAAGTGGTTTAAAGCGAATTGGAGCAGTGATAAAACTGTTCTTTTATGACTGAAAAGTCATGAGTTCGAATCTAGAAGACAACCTCTTTGCAATTATACAAGGGTAAGGCTGCCTAAAAGGATTTCCTCCATCCCACCCTCGCTAGTTGGGTTTAACCGGGAGTGGTTTTTATACATCCACTTTTTATAACTTATCGAAAGGGTGGATTGTGCATTTGAAGAAATTCCTTTGTGTTAAATAACACTACTCTTATGTATTGAGTAGGTACTAACATCTAATTTTTTTCGATGTTAGTCTGCTGATCATTTTTGCTGTATAGTAGGTACTTTTTGGCATTTAAAGGACGTTTCTAACATTATTTATTTATTTGTTTATTTTGGCTGATCTGTTTCATTTTGTTTAGGGAAAGGATATTCTTGAAATAGACCATCCCGAAGGTCCTTTCGGCACTAAGGTTAGTGTTGTTACTTATTTATAAAATGATATGCATGCAAAGATTTAGCTCATTTTATAGTTGAGCCATTTGTGTTGGAGCTCTTCCGTATTTGGGTGGGTTAGATTTTGCAAACTTGATTTTGAAGTGGGTTTGTAGTTGAATGATTTGTTTGGAAAAGTGATTTTGGCAAAACCAATGTTGTTTGGATTGTTGCTTGTTTCCAAGATGATGTGAAGGAAATGGTGAAAACAGATTTTTGTTAATTTCACATTTTCCTTCGCAAATTCTTGAAAATAGAAAACAAAGAGAAAATACAGTGGCAGTTTGTTAATTATTAGAGAAAACATGTTAACTGAAAATAAAAATAAAAATAAACTAAACACCACCTTAACTTTCTGTTTTTCACTTTTTATTTGACCAGCAGAGCTAGTTCATATTTCTTTCTTTCTTTATTCCCTTCTTCCTCTTTCTCTTTTTGTAAGTGGAAATATTAGTCTTAGTTTTATAATTTCTTTAGATTCACATTGCCCTAATATGTATAATGGTTTTGAAGTATGTTTGATGTTTCTGCTTTCATTGGTTTGTATTGGTTCATAGGAAGCACCAGCTGTTGTTAGGTCTTACTTTGACAGAAGGATAGTTGGATGCCCGGGAGATGAAGGCGGTAAGTGTTCCTTATCTTGCTTTATGAATCTGTGTGTTAAATACTAGAATTGATTATGTTATGACTTATGAGGTGAAAAACTTTTTTTTTTTCTGCAGAGGATGAGCATGATGTTGTCTGGTTTTGGCTGGAGAAAGGCAAGCCTTATGAATGTCCAGTGTGCTCACAGTATTTTGTGGTAAGTTGAGAATCACATTTAGATTTTTATTTTTACCATGATAGATTTGGAGTTAAATGTCAAGATATTTAAGTATGTACAAGTTTGCTTGCATTTGCCCTTAACTACTTACAAGGTATCAACTATCAAGGGCCACTGCTTGTTATGGACCGCACAGGGTTGATACTGCTCCTATAAAATCTGTGTTTGACATGCTTTGGGTTCCTTTCTAATATTTCCACAATCTAAATGCCTTGAATAGTTCAAAGTACAATTATCTGACCATGTATTGCAGTTATAACATGTTGCTGTTTCATGTGTTTATGTGATTCCTATTTTTGTAAGAATTGGCTTTCTAAATTACAGGAATTTGATTTGTTTGTCTTTTGCCAGTGTCACCACTCATCAATGCTTCAATGTATATCTGTGCTGGCATTATGTTTGATTTAGAGAAATCGTATAGTGTATGCCTACATCAAAAAGCATGCATAAAAAGTGCTTTAGAGAACCGTAATTCCTTGACAGGGTGGATATATAGCCCCTCCTTGTCGATATGGTTGCGAAGTTAGTGCAGTGCATAAATGTACTATAACTTGAAACTAATAGGAATGAGGAGAGTCGGAATAAACTTCGATGAAATTCATGTCACTATTTTAGAATTTTAGTTGAACAATAATTAAATTACTGTATTTGAACTAATTATATGGTTTTTCTTTACAGCTTGAAGTGGTGGGACCGGGCGGTGATCCTTATGGACATGGCGATCACGATCACCATTGATTGCATCCCGCAGCTTTCCTTTAGGAATAAAATTTGCGAAAGATGTAGAGACATTGTTTTACACTGGCGCCTTCCAAAATCCTGAGGCCTTGTTTTGTTTGTTTTTTATTGGGCTATATACCTTGAAAGTTTTGCCTTGCAACTTTAGAGATAGAAAGTTTCTGTGATTATTTAGACACATGCTGGTCATTTGCTCAGCTATCAAATCCTGTTAGGTTGTCATTTTTCACTGCCAAATAATTGATAGCAACACTAAGATTCTTTAACATTGCTTGAAGGTGTAGAATCTTCAGCTATTTTTTTTTTTTGGTAATCCATCTTCTTGATAGCAACACTAATCCACGGTCTTGCATTAGTTTGTTTTTGAAGGGAAAAAAAATAATTGTGTTGACAACTTCTTGATAATGTTCAAAAAAGAAAATTAAAAAAAAAAAAAAGGTTCAGACATACAGAAACACAATGTATAATCGAATTGAAATTTTTTTGGCAGATGAAGACAACGTAAACTGAGTTTATACGGGTTTTTGTACACATTAAATTATGAATTACGTCATTATATTTTCATTCTTTTTCAATTAAGATCATTTAAATTTTCTTTCCAGCATTTAACCTCCTAAATTTTTATGTGAATTGGAAATGTCAACTTTATGGATACAGTATATGATATAGATATTTATATATAGATATTTATTGTTTAATTTTCACTTGATTTTTTAATCACCAAATTCCTTTTGAAAAAATGTTTAGGAGAGTAAGTTTTAAAATGTTAAAATTAAGTGTTATGAAGAACAAATGGAAAAAATTCAATTTTAAAATATAGATTAGTAATGCAAGAAAAAGACCAACGTAGTAGGTTATATCTTTTTTTTAGGTACACAAGGCTATATCATTTTTTTTTTTTTTTTTGTAATAAAGAGGGGCAAAAGCCCCAAACAAAACAAAAATTACACGACGCGAGAACTTAAAAGATCTACAGAAGCATCCTGAAGAAGGAGCTCTAACAAAGGAGAAGGAGGAAAATGATAAACAATAAGATTATTATCATCCTCAAAATGCCTAGAAGCAAACCAGTGAGCACATCTGTTATTTTCTCGAAAGGTGTGGACCCAACGAACATCCCAATCTTCAGCAAGCCATTTGTGAATACGGGAAACAACCTGAGAGTTTCTGTGATTGTTGCTCCCTTCTTGGATAGTGCTAAGAGCAATTTCTGAGTCACATTCCAACTCCACTCTCCTAGCACCAGTACCCCAGGCCAACTCTAAACCTTTGAGGATACCCCAGAGTTCTGCATCAAGAGGATTACAGAAACCTAATCTGAAAGAGAAACCACCCAGAAAAGCACCATTGTGATCTCTAGCACCATCTGTGTTAATCTTCAACCGACCAGGTTCAGGACGACACCATTTAGTAGGTTGATGGACATTAGGGAAGCTGCCAAGAATGCTTCTATTCTTACCTCTAGCTTCAATTAAATGCGCAATAAAATCAGAAATGACACGCTTATCATTGCTTGGCCTTCGAAAACTATCATCATGAATATGATGATTACGCCAATTCCAAATATTCCAGCAAGTAGTATAGAAAACATCTCTCCAATCAACATGAATTTGATAATTCCAACCCTTACTCACATTTTTTATGAGCCAAGGCTGTAGGTCTAATGTGAAAAAATCGTTGGGGACCCTTCTACCAAACCAATCTATCCACAATCTTTTGGCTTGAGAACAATCTCTAAGGACATGAATAAGAGTTTCTTCACTGTTTGGACAGTTAATGCAAAAATTAGGACCCCCATTCCATTTGCATGTACGACTCCTAACTGGAAGCTTATTAAGAAAAGCCAGCCACATCATAGTCTTGATTCTTTCTGGACCCTTCCAGTCCCAAATCTTCTTCCAGGGAACATTCCTTTGAGCATGTTGAAAATTCATCAAGTTCAAGTAGGCAACCTTAACTAAGGAAGAGGACACATGATTCTGACTCCAAACTAACCTATCCTCAGTGTTATCTTCCAAAGCAACAGGAACGCAAAACACCTTAGAGATTAGCTCATCATTTAAGAATTGCTTCAAATATCGAACATCCCAGGTACCATGCTGAAAGATCTCAGCAATGGTTCTATGCAATTCCAGATCAGGAATATGATTAGGAGCTAAATTACAAAGATTATCATCCAGATTCAACCAATTATCCGCCCAGAATTTAATAGTCTCTCCATCACCCACCTCCCATCGAAGACCGGCTAAAAAACTGTTCCAACATTTAGAAAGGTCCCGCCAAAGTTTAGAATCATAAGGCTTAGAGCTTATCTCACGCCTCAAATCTTTACCTCTGCCATACTTGGCTCTCAAAATCTTAACCCAAAGTTCCTCCTTGTCAGTTAAGATTTTCCAGGCCAACTTATGAATATAAGCCTCATTTTGAGTACGCAATCTGATAATACCAAGACCTCCCATTTCCTTCGGCTTATACATTGTGTCCCAAGGCTATATCATTTTTACATAGGAGTGCATGTTGATAGTAAATCTGATTATATAGTCTCTAGCTGCTTAATTTTTTATGAATTTATAATATGTAATTAGCAATGTTTTGAAAATTAGATTTGTCATTGAACGTGATCGAATTGGTGATAAATAAATATATATTTTTAATAGTATATAATATATTAATTAATAAACTAACGAAAAATCATAAGAAACTAAGTTAAGCAAAATTTTAAATTACTTAAGAGTGCATGTTGATAGTAAATCCGGTTATATAGGGTGTGCATGACAACCTTCTCGGAATTATTTCTTTTTTAATTTCTGTTTCCGGGAACAGAAATGGATAGGAAATTCGTTTGATAAAATCGGTTTATTTTTTTGTTTTTGGGATAAACCGGTTTAATTTTTGGGCTGGGGAACAGAAAAAAGAATTAGAAAATTTCTGTTTTTTTGTTCCCAGACACAAAATGAGAAACGCTTATCTCTCTCAATCGCTCTCCACCTCTACCATCATCACCATAATATCGTACCACTAGTGTCGTCGTCACCACCCCTCACCACCACGATGTCACTGCAACCATTACCACCACCACCACTATCACTGTCACCGTCACCACCACCGTCACCACCACCATCACCAACATCGCAACCACTGCCGTCACCGTCACCATCGCCATCACACACCACTGCCACCACCACCACCACGACGCCATCACTACCATCACCACCACTGCCACCAACCACCACTACCATTGTCGCAGCCTCTACCGTCACCATCACCTCCCTCGTCGTCGTCGCCACTAACCACTACCACCATCGTCATCATTGCCTTCACCACCACTACCATCGTCACCATTACACCACCCCCGCCACTACCATCACCACGCCACCGCCACCACCGCCACCGCCACCATCACCACCATGATGCTTTCACAACCACCACCATCATGTCACTGCTACCATTGTTGCTGCCACCAACCACCATACCCACCACCATTGTCGCAGTCATTGTCGTCACCTCCACCACTACCATCGTCGTCGCCACCATTACCACCGCCATCGTCGCAGCCACTGCCGTCACAACCACCACCACTATCTTCATCATGTCACTGCCACCACCACTACCGTACCGCCGCCGCCACCACCACCACTACCGTACCACCGCCACCACCACCACCACCATGCCACCCGCCGCCACAACCACCACAACCACACCATATGGAAAGGAAAGTGATGATCTGAATTTTTTTATATTTAATAGGAATTATTTTTTATTACATTATTTGTTGTGTTATCAAAAACAATTCTCATTCTCGGAATAAAAATAAAACATGTTATCAAGCACATTTTTTTCTCAGAAATTGTTCCAAGGCACAGAAATAGAAAAGAAATAATTCTTTGCAGAAACAGTGCTAGGGAATAGAATGGTTGTCATGCACACCCATAGTCTCTAGCCGTTTAATTTTTGATGAATTGATAATAATATGTAAATTGTGATATTTCAAAAATTAGACCAGTCATTGAACCGTGGTTAAATTGGTCATACATAAATACATACTTTTAATATTATATAATATATTAATTAGTGATCAGGATAAACTGCAATACGCCCACCAAGGGTTAAAATTCAAAGATTACAGGCCCAAAACACATAAGGCCCAACAATGCGCGATATCCACATTACGCATAAAGAATCAGGGGGCGCGATGGCTTCATCGCGCTCAAACCGTCTTTAACATAACTTCAGAGTTAAGAAAGTGATCAATAACACAAATGAAGATTCACCGCGCCATAGAACCAATAAACAAAGGACAACTCCAGCTTGCCACCACTTTACCAAGATAGCTTGACATATTGAGATAAGGCCAGAAAGGCACCAGCTGAACCTGCAGCCCATAAACAGCCAATCAGAAGTTATACCGCCTACCAAAGGCGGCATCAGATTCACTATATAAACAAATGGTACACACCCAGGTATAACAATCTAATTCAGTAAGAATACAACATAAGCCTGACTGCGATACTGACTTGAGCGTTGGAGTGTCATTGTAGGTATCCTCCCCAGTCCGAGTCATTGCGCCAAAGGAGAATCATATCCATCCCACTACTATCAGCCATCAACAGTTCAAGAAGCAAACAATCCAACCCAAAAATCTTCTCTCATCAACCGTGTGTGATTATGCCCGATATATATTGGTCAGCCCACATAGTATTGATCTGATCAATTAATAAACTAACATGAAATAGAAATTTTTTAAATAATATTAAAGATTATATTATATGTCTTGTATAATAAAAAATCAATAATGAAAAGATAAATAATAATAGTCCACCGACAAATTTTTATTAAATAAGAAATAAACAAAATAAAAAGGGTACAAACTGATTTTCTGCAACGGATTTTCATATTAGTCTTGGATTAGTTTTTCACTAGACCTCTAATTATTCAAATTTGTAAGTTGTCGTAATCGATTCCGTTGTGATACTGGATCAATGGGTTTAATCAGTGAGTTATTGATTCAATCACATGAATTAAATAAAATACAATAAATATAAAATTAAAAGCATTTCAGCTAATAATTACAATTAGATTAGTAACAAGTACTATAAATTATAATTTACATAGTTTATGTTTGAATCTATTAAGAGTATTTTTCAAATATTTTGTCAAAAGATTTTCAAAACTAATTTTTAAAAAACTGATGCCGATATAATACCGGTTTGCCAGTTTCATACCCATTCAAATATATAATCGGTCTAATACGTAAACCAAATTGGTCAGGAATCCAGTTTATAAATC